TTGAACTTTGTGTCGTTTGATAGGCAATTTTAAAAAGATAAAAGTGGTCTTATAATTTGTTCATAACATTAGATATTTTTTGTTATTCGATAAAAAAAATTTCCACCATTTTGAAATTTTGAATTTGATCAAGACATTTTTTAAAGATGGGCTTTTTCTACTTTAACATACCGTACATACCAAGTTTGATAAAGATCGGTTGGAACAATCCAAAGATAAAAAGGTTTATGCGAATAATACAAAATGATGGATATCTGGTTAACGAGGCGATTTTGGAAAAAACGTAATCCTTGATTTTCTCTTTATCTTGACCCATTGAACAATTTCCCGGAGTTTGCTTTACTTAGAGTTATGTAGAGTCTTTAGTTACGGTAAACCCTACAGTAAGTCATGTATACAGTACTAGCTGTAACCCGCGGGCTTTGCCCCGTTTATCCGTGTACCATCTTTTGTGAAAAAGATAGTCTCTTTTGTTTCCTTTGGTTGTTGTTATTTTAAAAGATGACTTCTTCCAAATTTCATCTTTGCTAAAGGCAAAAAAGTTTTAATTGTGTGTACCACTGGTTTACTAAAGTAGCTTTGGTCTTGAGGTAATGATGAGAACAAATGCTTCCCTAATTAGAATGGAAATAGTCTTTGAACAAATTAGAAAATGATAAGAGTCTGTTGAGATCTAAGCTTTTTTTGTTATTGGTAATACTGTAACCACCACATTAGCAGCATGGCCCATTTATCACTTCTAATTTTATATTATTTTTGTAAGGTCCAACAAATTAGTGTACAAAGGCACACCTTTGACCAAACCTAACCTTAATTTATGTTTCTGATCTACATCAAAATAAAAACTACTTACTTTTAGTATATCTTTATGTGGTGGTATTGCACATGATGTGATTAAATTTCCATTTTCTATCAGAATAGGCATATTTAAATGTTCAGCGGGTTCATCTATGATAGTTTCAACTACACGGGAGTATTCATTTACTTCTCCATCCACTTTCTCAAGTATTTAATTGTTAATAGTATACTTTTCTCATTCAATTGATACATATCATGTTTTTTAACACATTTTACGTGTTTTATATCTATTTACGGTAAAAAAAAAAAAAAAATAAAAAATAAAAAAAAACTATCATCGATTGACTTCTAAATCATGTATTGCAACTAAGTAAACTTTTAAAGTAAGCGTATAATTTGAAAATTAAATCCAATGTAATAGTATTTTCATACATGTATCAGCGCATCATATAATTCTTACTAGGTGGCCTTATAGGCTAGCCTAGCTTTAAAGAAAGGCATTTCTTCAAACCAAGAGGGCCAATTAAATTTTGTTCCTGAAACCAAAGGTGGATGTGTAACTATTTCAAACAACAGTTTTATAAACATCGAATGTTTTTCCTCAGTGTCCTCGCCGTCGCAAAGCAAGGGTACAGCAGCAGCTAGGAAATAAATATGAAATCTTTAAGGAGATATTTTAGTGAAAATCCGTTCTGGCAATTATTGTATATTAAACACCAACTTTAAGAGCAGTTATTTATTAACAAGTTTAACAAGGTTCATAATATAAAGATGTAGTAACTCTAACTGAAGTCTTATTTTTGTTTGTTTTGCATTCATAATAAACAAAGAACATTTAATTTAATTTTATCAGCTGATTGTACGAGGCATGTTTTTTTAAGTAAGTACCGTTTTTAATATTCTCCGTTGCAGTGCTGCGATTGGCATTTTGGACACTTTCGCTGTATATGTGCATCTATTGGCAAGCCCTAGCCGGAAATTCGACAACAATCGGCCGTGTTTACATCCGGTATCGAGCATTCAAAATGGTGCCGCCAATTGAGACTGCCGCCGACTGTGAAGTGCGCGCTGTAATTAGATTTTTAAGTGCTGAAGGTGTGAAAGCCATTAAAATTTATCGACAGATTAGTGAGGTGTATGGCGAGAACATTTATAAGTGACGGAATGGTACAAAAGTTGGTAAGGGCATCTAAAGACGGCCCCACCAACGTTTATGATGAGCAACGCACTGGGTACTGGGGACAGTGACGCTGCCCAGTGCGTTGCTCATAATGAACGTTGGTGGGGCCGTCTTTAGATGCCCTTACCCACTTTTACAACACGTTTTTAGGTTCAGCTGGCAACACAAATGGTGCCCTAGAGAAAGTAGTACCCGCGGCCGTATCATTCTGCTATTTTTCCTCGGCAAGAAATGTGCTCCGCGTGTTGACAATATAGTTCCGTATGTTTTTGTAATTTGAAGTGGTTTCCACGCCTAAAAAAATGCTTTAAAGGTATTTTCTTGTTTATTAAGATCGTAGGAATGTTTAAAAACGTTTAAAAGAAAAGTCCAGAAAGTTCAGAAATACCGCAACTATAAACACGAAATGACAGGTTAAATCGTAGTTATAATAGTCAATCAGCTGCTCATAGTATTATCTATCTATCTATCTATATATTAATAGGCGAGCATGTTTCTTTAAAACCTTTTTTCTCAGCTCGTGTGCATCGTAGGGAAAATCTACGCATACCGTTGGAAAGCTATTTTCCTGTAGGTGTGCAGAATCCCTTTATAAATTTAAATAGGCTCAAAGATAAGCACAAAAAATGAGTTTAAAAATTTGAAAAAATTAACATGGATCTTATGCGTTGCTATGCTGGTTACGAAAGAACAACGAAATACAAACAGAAAATCAAAACAAATGGAAGAAACTCCAATCACATGTTTTATTTACAGTGTGGGGTGAAAATAGATAAGTGAGTACATTACATATTTTTGGTCGAGTTTCGACCACTGGACGACCTCTCGTTATCTTTAAGTGTTGCCAACCTATTTCCAAGCGTACACGTATTACGTGTATAATAGAACCACGCAGTTTTGTGTTGTTTCGTTGGAATCCTGATGTGCGGCAAAGTATAAACCGTACGGAAAAGTATAAACCGTACGGCAAAGTATAAATATGCAGCAATTAGCAGCTTTCTGTACTATAAACAGTACAAGGAAGCCAACTTTGTCGGGTGACTGTAGGAAATAGTTATTTCCTACAGTCACTATAATCTATCTATATATTAATAGGCAAGCATGTTTCTTTAAAACCTTTTTTCTCAGCTCGTGTGCATCGTAGGGAAAATCTACGCATACCGTTGGAAAGCTATTTTCCTGTAGGTGTGCAGAATCCCTTTATAAATTTAAATAGGCTCAAAGATAAGCACAAAAAATGAGTTTAAAAATTTGAAAAAATTAACATGGATCTTATGCGTTGCTATGCTGGTTACGAAATAACAACGAAATATAAACAGAAAATCAAAACAAATGGAGGAAACTCCAATCACATGTTTTATTTACAGTGTGGGGTGAAAATAGATAAGTGAGTACATTACATATTTTTGGTCGAGTTTCGACCACTGGACGACCTCTCGTTATCTTTAAGTGTTGCCAACCTATTTCCAAGCGTACACGTATTACGTGTATAATAGAACCACGCAGTTTTGTGTTGTTTCGTTGGAATCCTGATGTGCGGCAAAGTATAAACCGTACGGAAAAGTATAAACCGTACGGCAAAGTATAAATATGCAGCAATTAGCAGCTTTCTGTACTATAAACAGTACAAGGAAGCCAACTTTGTCGGGTGACTGTAGGAAATAGTTATTTCCTACAGTCACTATAAAGCATATAAATAATTAGTCTTTCAAACACTATACAACACGTTTTTAGGTTCAGCTGGCAACACAAATGGTGCCCTAGAGAAAGTAGTACCCGCGGTCCGTCTCACTCCGCTATTCTTCCTCGGCAAGAAATGTGCTAAGCGTTTTGAGAATATAGTTCCGTACCTATGTTTTTGTAATTTGAAGTGGTTTCAGTGCCTAAAAAAATGCTTTAAAGGTATTTTATTGTTTATTAAGATCGTAGGAATGTTTTAAAAACGTTTAAAAGAAAAGTCCAGAAAGTTCAGAAATACCGAAACTATAAACAAGAAATGACAGGTTAAATCGTAGTTATAACAGTCAATCAGCTGTTCATAGTATTATTATCTTTAAGTGTTGCCAACCTATTTCCAAGCGTACACGGATTACGTGCATAATAGAACCACGCTGTTTTGTGTTGTTTCGTTGGAATCCTGATGTGCGGCAAAGTATAAACCGTACGACAAAGTATAAACCGTACGGCAAAGTATAAATATGCAGCAATTAGCAGCTTTCTGTACTATAAACAGTACAAGGAAGCCAACTTTTTCGGGTGACTGTAGGAAAAGATTTTTGTGAAGCTTTATGTAGATTTAGGAGGGTTATGTTTGGTTTTAAAGAAAGTTTGTATACGTTTTGTATAGAATTGCGCAAAGTTTCATTTTGTAATTTATATAGTAAGCTAAATGTAATGTAAAGAGGCTTGACTAAAGTTGAAGAATTATGGTAAAACATGTCATTCGTGAAGCATCAATATGAAGCAATTGATGCTGTTGCTACACTAAGGTATGTTGTCATATTCTTTTGGATTTATTAACATAAAAAGTAGGGGTTTGAAAGTAAGCAGGTTTACACTTTTAAATCAGTTTATATTTTCAAACTAAATCATAAAGTTGCCGTATTTTAAAACACACATCAGGATTACTTTAATAGCTCTCTAGGTCACATTTTCTTCCCGTTGCAAAGCACGGGTATAGCAGCTTGTTGTATATTAAACACCAACTTTAAGAACAGTTATTTATTAACAAGTTTAACAAGGTTCATAATGTAAAGATGTAGTAACTCTTACTGAAGTCTTATTTTTGTTTGTTTTGCATTCATAATAAACAAATAACATTTAATTTAATATTATCAGCTGATTGTATGTACAGGATATAATAGCAATAATTAGAATTTCTTAGTCTGCAAGTTTTGTGTTGATGGGGATCTTTGGTATTTATTGTCATTATCAACGTGCTACGGATTGCAGGATGAAATTATTAAAAACATATTTTTGCAGTTTTACAAGAATATGAAGATGATCACCGCCTTATTGTTCGTTCTGGTATTTGCTGGGCAAAATATTCCTGAGTCTACAGCTGCAGGCGCTGACTTGACGGCTGCTGACTATCCTCCACCACCCAAAGTCCAACGGACGGTAAATATTTACTGTATTAAAATGTAGCACCAGAAGACAGAGCGTTGCTTGATAAATCTATTTAGTAAACCATGTAAAGCATAAACTAGGTGTACAATGCAGTTGTCTGCTTGCAATATTGAGCGGAGCTAGCATATTAATCCAATACTACTTTTCTAAAGTCAATGCTACAGCTGTTCCTCGTTTATGATATTAAATATTTGCAGTATCCAATGTCAATGGTATATTTGGTTCCCGTAAATGAATTGTCTACTTGCACGAACCAAAGTCTATGTTTCACCTGGTTCTCATATATTAAAATGTCTAATTACATCCATATCCAATGTCAACGATACATTTGGTTCGTATAAATGAAATGCCTATTTGCATTATCCAAAGTCAATGGTACGTCTGTTTCACTTAATTGGAATGTCTATTTGCAGTATTCAAAGTCAATGATACGCCGGGTTTACGTAAACGAATATTGTTTACTTGCGGTATCCAAACTCAATGGCACATTTGGTTCACGTAAATTAATATTGTCTACTTTCAGGATCCAAAGCAATGGTTCATTTGATTCACATACATGGAGTGCCTATTTGCAGTATCCAAAGTCAATGATACGTCGGGTTCACGTAAACGAATTGTTTGCTTGCAGTATCCAAACCCAATGGTACATTTTGGTTCACGTAAATGAATTGTCTACTTGCAGGATCCAAAGTCGATGGTACGCCTGGTCTTGTTTCCCTTGTCTGTGGCCTGGTTTACCTCAATGGAATGTCTACTTGTAGTATCCAATCCAAACTCAGTGGTACATTTGTTTCGCCTTTATGGAATTCCTAATTCAAAGTCTGCATTATTGAATCGTATGCCTAGTTCAGTAGTTCACATAATAATGGAAAGTCTACTTGCAGTTTCCAAACTTAATTGTATGTAGGCCTAGATTTGGTTCACATAAATGGAATGGCTATTTGGATTATTTAAACTTAATGGTGCTTCAGCCTTATTCCGGCGACCATAATTAATTATTGGTTATTCTTTTTGTAGTAAATTATGCTCAATGATATTAATCCGATTGTTCTTCCTATTTTCTCTGTACGGTATTTGTAATGTGCTATTTAGATGATTCGTCGACTAACATATGTTGCGACTCTTGTTTACCTTTTTATTGTTATCATGCAAATAATGTCATGGCGACGAAATAACCCATAAGGCCCATGTTAAATTTCCAAAAGTTTGAATTCACGTAGAGAAAAACCCTGTAGTCCGGTTCGTACTATTTCAGATTTATACCTTCCCATGGTCGGTTACTAAGATTGTGCTAAATTTGGTGAAGATTGCTTCAGCCATTTAGGAGGAGTATTTGTAAAACAAAAGCAGAAGTGTAGTATAAGAGCTTCAATCGCTTCGCTTACTGTGTCCTCCCCCCATTGCAAACGCAAAGCTTTAGTATAACTGCATACCCTGCAAGATCAGTATAACTGCAAGATCGACCTTGACCGGGATGCGGTGTAGGTCATTAAGAATCTAAATGCCAGAAACGGTGCGAGCCCTGAGGGCTTAGGTCACATGTTGGCCTGACTTGAAGTAATGTGACAAACAATTCCAGGTCTGTGTCCAACAGAGTAGAGGGGGTTTTTTAGTGAGTAGTCTGATAATTTTCAGGAGTCTCACACTACAGGCTGGCTACCTGTGTGCGTAAAAGCATTTTCCCTCCTCTCCCTAAAAAAAAAACAAAAAAAACTAGCTTTACTAGCGCGTTTACTTTTTAAATTCCATCAAAATGTGACCAGTTCTTTTTCCAATGAATGTTATTTTAATCAAACAGCTAATTCAAAACAAACTACTGTATGAGCCTTATTATGCGCGGCCACTCGAGTCGCGCGCGACCGCGACTAAACTTAAACTTAACATCTCAAACACTTGCGTTTAATCAAATTTTGTAGTAAATGCAATCTGTGTAAGTATTTAGTTTATGCCATACAAATTTCAACAAATATTTGGGGAATATTTTTTCAGCGCTTAATCGTTTAGGATATAAGATTTACGTGTTGATACTTATTTTTCTGTATGTTTGAATGTGAGTATGTTGGCATACCAAAATTTTGGTTAGTGTTGAAAGCGTCAATTTGTGTAATAGGGCTTTATACAACTGTCCAATAAGCTGCAGGGAGCAGTAGAAACCATTCGATTCACGCCATACCATCACTATCCCCGTTGTACTGTATGATTCAGAAACTTGGGCACTGACCAAAGAATCGTAATGTTGACAACATCAACATTTGAAACATCAAATTCAACAAAACCTGCCTCCGTCATGATTTAATACCAAATTATGTTCAGATAAAAGTAAAGTCAAATACCTTTGCTGCAAAAAAGCAAAACATTTAGCTGAGAAATCATGGATTAAAATGGAAATAAAATCATTGTATGCTAAGAAAAATATGTTGAACACTTTGATGTATAAATAATACCTTGAAATAGCCAACTCAATCCACCCTCTTGAAATAAATAGTTTACTATCGAAAATTGAAAACAGAACTGTTCCAAAAGTAATTAAAAAGAAAAAGCAACAAGAACAAAAGTTAAACCAGCTAATGATTACACAAAAATCCCCTACTGTAAATTTAAAGGTAGATTTTAAGTTCTACCCTAGAGTAGTCAATTATAGAGACATAATGTTTGAAGACAACAAAATTAAACTACTTGAGAAAGGTTTTAAATACAGTATACCCAAACAAACAAAAAACTCAATCTTTGACGAACTTATTAATGCTGAAGCAGCCATAAAATTTATTGAAGACTCAGACTCACGTAACCAACTTCGCTCTTTAGTAAACAGGAAAATAAAGAATTGTCATGACAGAGAATCACAATCCCAAATAGTCAACCAAAAACATGCTGAAGTTCCAACTACAATAGGTATAAAAGAAAAATTAACACAAAATGACGCTATGTTAAAAGCTGATAAGGGCAACTCTATTGTAATCATGCCCCAAGACGATTACTCTAGCAAAGTTAACGATTTTATCATAACAAATGACATACAACCAATTAACAAGGATCCTACAACCAATTATAACACAGCCATAAAAAATGCATTAAACAAAGTCAAGGTTTTGTTTGACAAAGACATTGTAAAATCCATTAAGACCATGAACCCAAAAGCCCCTACTCTTAAAGGTCTTCCCAAAATCCACAAAAAGGACATCCCTAGACCCCTTGTCAACTATACAACTGCACCTAGCTACAAATTAGCCAAAGCATTAGAACGCCAACTACGTTTACATTATGTGTTTGACAATAATAAAAGCCTGAAAAATAGCCTTGAACTCATTGATAAGATAAAGGACATAAACATAAACAACCATTGCATTCTGGCTTCTTTCGACATAGTCAATCTATATACTAACGTTCCGGTTAAAGAAACTATAATGATTGTCAAAGCAAAACTGATAAAAAAATGCAACTTTACAGCCCGAAGCCATTGATGAACTGATAATCCTACTTGAGATAACACTCCAACAAAACTATTTCACATTCAATGGGAAACCATATGTACAAAGTGAAGGGTTAGCTATGGGATCACCGTTATCTGGCATCTTAGCTGAAATCTACCTCAACTACATCGAAAACACAGAGATTTTTTCTCACAAAAACAACCATCTGAGTAAAATCATTTTCTACCATAGATATGTTGATGACACGTTGGTCTTGTTCGATGGGAACGCCTGACAGCTACAGATCTTAAATAACCACCTGAACAACATAGCCCCGAAATTACAGTTTACATTAGAAATAGAAAGTAACAACCAAATAAACTTCCTCGACCTTCTATCAAGAAAAATAATAACAGTTTTGAGATCGACATTTTCAGAAAGCCTACCACAACCTCTCAGACGATACACGCTTCCTCATACCATCCCCAAAGCCACAAAACAGCGGCTTATAATAGCATGGTTCACCGCCTCTGGAACACCTACGAACTATGAAAAAGAATTAGACACCATAAAGTATATTGCAGCCTCCAATGGATATGAAAGTAGAATGGTTGATAGATTGGTTAAAAAGCATCGAAATAAAAACATAAACAAACATCTAAACTCGAACCAACAGACCCTCAAGTACATTCCAATCGAATATGGCCACCGATTGTATAACCTATTGAACAAAGAATTAAAACCATACAATTTATTACCCGCTCCTAGAACCTCCAATAAATTAGAACGCCTTCTAACTATAAGACAACCCTCCAATGACAATGGGAAACTGGAAAAAACTGGTGTATATAAGCTAAAATGTGGTGAATGTGAACAATACTATATAGGCCAAACAGGTCGGTCATTTACAACCCGGTTGAAAGAACACAAACCAAATCCCCAACTTATCCAACAAAAATCTACATTCGCCCAACACATAATCGAAAACGACCATAGAGCGGGGAAATTGGACGAAAATGTTACCATTCTCAGCTATTGCAAAAAAGGCTTTTTATTAGATACATTAGAAGAGTTTCACATCTACAAGTCATTAAAACAAGATGCTGACAATTTAATGAACGATCAAATCCACCACAGCTCCAATTTAATTTTCAACAAAATAATCGAGACCCAAGCGACACTGACGCATCCTATTAGCCAAGGATCAAGACAATACAATGGACAAAGGTCAGGTAGACCACAAAAATTATCTAGCTAGTTGTGGCTTGGATGTCACTCGTCGCGGCCGGTGATTTGACAAAAAAGTACTCGTTCGATAAAAAAAATAACAGAGAGCTAAGAGAAATGTGTTAACACCCAAATATAGGGGTGCTTTCCAGAAGTAAAAGGCTCGGATGGGCCTGCGTGGAGGAGAGGAGATACATACACTTTTAAAAGTATATTCCAAGGAGTACCACAACATAGACGGGAAATACCAAGTTATGAAATGCATCCTCAGACTGTGATCTAGATTAGAAGAGGCAGGTGAAAGAAGAGAATGGGAGGCCAGAATCCTCATAAGGTTTCAGTGGTCACGGAGGT